AGCCCAAACCCTCCTGGGTATGCTCAGGATGAGCCACTCACTGACACCTGCCTGTGCCAGGGCAAGGACACACTGGTTCCAGTTAGCCTTTGTGCTGGAGTCACAGCCTGGAGGCCTCTGCAGCTAGGCAAAGCTTAAATCCCAAGACCAAACCCTGAATATTTCCTGCTGTTGCACAGACACTGAGCCACAGGCTGCCTCCAACACTGGCCCTGTGTGTGCTCACCTGGAATTCCGTGAGCATAGGAATAATGAGAGCTGGAAGAGGAATGTGTGTCCTCTCCCTGACAATCTCCAGGAAGTGCTCGCTGTTTTTCACCAAGTTTCTGGGAGACTCTCTGCCATACCTTGGTTTTTCAGAGTAGTTATGCTCGAACTGGATCCACTCGTTCTTGCTGATGCAATAAATCCAGGCATCACCTGGAAACAAGGAAAATCCCAAACACAATCAGGATTCTATTAGTTCTGTCGTGTTTGCTGCCATAAACACGTGCTCTGGTGTGGCACAGCTCATTTCTGTGGGAAAGCCCTATGGAACTTTGGTAACTGGTTGATAAAAGGTGTTTGATCCAACAGAGGTTTGTGGGAGCGAAGATGGACAACTGCAGAGCTCTTCCTAATTGTGATTTGCATCAGATATATTTTTTAGAGCAGATGCATTGCTATAAATCAGTGTCTCCATCCACTGAGCAACTCCTGCTCTGAGGATTTAGCTGCTGGCCATGAGGAGTTGGATCACAAGTGCACAGGAGGAATTCAGAAGGAATTCAAGGGGAGTAATTCAAGGTTCTGTGCACAGCTGTCCGAGAACACAAAGAGCACACAAAGACACCTCCAAATCCCTTTGGAATGACTTACTCAGGGGCTGCTTGTCAGTGGTGAATCCTCCAAAGAGGAAGAGGTGATCTGAGGAAATGGGTGTCAAGGAATGCCACGATCGGCCCACGGGGCAGAGACCTTGTGTGAGTCTATGGCAACAAGAACACCCAAATTACACAGAGGGACAATAAAATCCAACTGCCCTGATTATCTGGGAATAGCTGAAGGATTCAGCTTTGCCCTGAGCAGTGACCCAACAAGGTTAACCTCTTTAGACCCAGCAACGACTCAGTACCCACATTTCATTCCACTCCCACGTGTCCAGGTTCAGGTAGTAAAGGTCATTCATCCTGGAATCCTGCAACAAAGCAGATCCTGGGTCAGGTACGCTGAGCAGGTCTGAGGATCACATGATTGAACTGGGTTGAGCTTACCCTGTATCTGCCTCCAAACACATAACCTCTGTTCCCAACTGTGGCACAGGCGTGAGCAGCTCGTGGGGATGGAGTTTTACCCTGGGAAGGGAAAGGTGACAGCACAAATCAGCCACTCCAGGAGATCAGAGGCTCAACTCAGCTCAGACTTAAGGCCAACAAGGAACAGAGTGGAAAAAAACCCAGCCAGTAAGTCATCCTCTGTGCAGAAACTTGACTTCTGATGGATGGAAGATCACAAAACTTGTTAAAAATGGGATTTTTTCCCCTCTTGAAGTGTATAAATGTTGCTTTTAGCAGAGGGTTCAGACAGTCACAGATCTCAGACTGTACATGAGACAATCACATAATAAATAATTATATGCATAAATTAGTGTTCCAGGTCAGGTTGGATGGGGCTTGGAGCAGCCTGGGCTGGTGGAAGGTGTCCCTGCCCAGGGCAGGAGGTGGGAGTAGAGATCCTTAAGGTCCTTCCAACCCAAACCACTCTGGGATTCATTCTACACTTCCATCAAACAATATTTTTCTTGAGTTGCCAAAACATCTGAGACCTGAATGGAGTAAGACAAAGCAATTCTTTGGCAATCAGGAGTTACTTGTCTCAAATTTCATTTCCTCCGGTTCTGTGGCAATATCCTCCCATTCCTCTGGTCCTGAACACTTCAGGGACACTTCCAGCTGTGGCTGTTTGCAGTTAGGAGTATTTAATTCTGCCTTGACCCCAATTCAGCCCCTAAATGACGTGCACCAAGCCATCCCATGGCAGTGAGGGTGACAGCAAACCACACACTCCTGAGCTCCCTGTGAGCACAACAACCAGTGAAGCATGAGAGAATGCAAGTCACAGCAGGAAATAGGAAGAGAGATCAAAATAAAGGACAAATTTGCTGGTTTGAATGGTTTAAAACCAGTTCAAAAGGCTCCAGGAGCTCTACTGAGTGACATCACTGAGCTGCGACTTAACAAAGTGACACAAGAGCACTAATTACCGTCGTTATGGGCTGGCTCCAGGTAAAAGTCTCAGTGTCCAGAACGTGCACGTGGTCATTCCAGCCTCGAGGAAGACCTGAATTCTTTCAAAATCACAAATAATTCTTTCAAAATCATAAATAAACAAGTTTTAAGAAGCACTGATTAAATGTGAAAGGTCAAACGGAAATGACTTCTAAGGTTACTTACCCAGAAAGAGGTTTCGTCAAACTCAAAGGTTCCTCGTGGTTTCCCCTCAGGAAAATAGCCATAGCCTCCAAAAAATATTAGCCTGGAAGAAAATAATGATCATAAGATCCATCAGGAATTTTGTCACATCTGCTGTTACAAATTACAGTTCTCTCCAGGCTGTGCTCAAACTGGGAAACCATGGAAGCTCCTAGGGACTTTCCTTATAGCCACAGTACAAGTTTGCCAGGTGTGGGGCCTCATTTCTTGCCTAATTGACCCTACCACCCACACTTAATCCCTCTGGAGCTGTTTCCCAGGCCTCAGGCTTCCAAGCTCTGCTCCACTTCCCAATGTGTGAAGCTACCAGGGGGTGCTGCCTGATCACTGTGCTTCAGCCTACACCACCAGAGCTCCCATGCTGTTCTCCTGGTGTCTGAATGGGATTGACCTTCATCTGTGTTGGGTTTTAATATCAGAAACTAAAGGTATGGCTTTGCCAGGAATTCCTCTTGGATTATGGAGTGACAGAAGACAATCTGCACCACCTAATTAAACACCCACAGCTGCAGAGATTAACATCTCAACTGAGCACATCAAGTATTGTAACACTGAGCTCCCTCTGCACATGGAGAATCTGGAAAGCAGCACCATGGGCAACTCCCTCTCCTTTCCTGAGCCTCTGCAGCAAATCCCACTGAAAATATCCTAACTGTGAACTCTCTCTGGAATGGCCAAAGCAGCACAAGCTGCTCCAGAATTATACTCCAAAATCACCACACCTGGTTTGGGCTGGGAGAGACATTAAAGCTCATCCAGTTCCACCCCCTGCCACGGGCAGGGACACCTTCCACCAGCCCAGGTTGCTCCAAGCCACATCCAACCTGGCCTGGAACACTCCCAGTGATGGAGCAGCCACAGCTTCTCTGGGCAACCTGTGCCAGTGCCTCAGCACCCTCACAGCCAACAATCTATTCCCAATATCCCATCTGTCCCTGCCCTCTGGCAGTGGGAAGCCATTCCCCATGTCCTATCCCTTCATCCCTTGTCCCAAGTCCCTCTCCAGTTCTCTTGGAGCCCCTTTATGCTTCTGTTCCCCAGGCTGAACAGCCCAACCAGCACCACACTGGCTGAATGGAGGAGGGGGGTACAAGCTAACCACATTTTTGGCTTCCACACCTTCTCATCTTCCTCAGTTTTTCCAAGGTTTGCAATGCCCAGAGGCACCTCTGGGACACTCTCCCAACCCAGGCACAAACACCACCAGCTGTTCACCTAACACAGTTCTTGTTCTGGGCACCCACAAGTTCTCCTGCAGCTCTTGTCCAAGAGAAAGACACATGGACAGGACATGGAGTGAAAAATCCCGAACATACGCAAGGACAGTGAATTCCCATGGAGCCTTACTTGTTTTTGTACACCCATACACCAAGCTTGTCCTTGGATGAGGGAGGCACCCCCTGGCACTCCACTCTGACCCACTGCAGCACTTTGTCTGTGGATCTGGAATTTAACATGTAGAACTGTAGGAAAGAAGGAGATTTGTTTTAACCCACAAAGTCAGCTCAAAGCTCAGGTCTGAGTGGTGTTACAATAGCTTTGATTGGCAGAGGTATGGAATGGGAATGGGAATAAATGGAAAGTTCTTTTCCTACATGAAAACCAGAGCACTGGAAACACTGGAATAAAACATGGATTCATAAATCCTTATGTTTTTGCAGACTCAAATACTTCTGACTCAAGTAAGGGCTATGGGCATTGAGTTTCATCAGCCAAAAGCTGATGTGGGGCATGAAGGTGTTGAGCAACTGTCCTACAACAAAAAATGCTTCAAAACATTAAAATTAGGGTTTTTTTTTACAGTATTATCCCTTCTCTGCATATTACATCCTTTCACAGGTAGAGAAATGGCTGATATATATATATAAATATATAAGTGGAATGCAGGAATGTCACAGCAGGAGGGAAAAAAGTCACAGTCTATACACATAATTTGTGTCAAACTGTTGGCAAAAATTGCATCAAGCTCCTTCCAGTTTGTATATCTAAATACACAACTTTATACTTGGATCTATAACTTCATATTTAGATATGTAATTTTACATTTAAATATACAAACTATATATTTACATAGGCCCAAACTATTCAATTTAAGTCTCAGAGAACATCAGAAAATATTCTTAATTCTATAAATACTTGCTCTATAATTAATTATGTAAATATATAATATATTCTTAACCAATTCTAGCTGATTAGTCACAGTTTGGACTTGGCCTTGGAGGTCTTTTCCAATTTGAATGATTCTGGGATTATCAGAGACTCCAAAACAGGAAAACATTCCAAACCACTATAGCTCAGATGACATCCTGGCATTGTTCCAGGCAATTCCCACCTTCCAGAAGCAGCAAAGCCACAGCTGATGGGGGTGAATGGCACGAGGAACAGGTCAATCCCTGGGTCAGGGTGTTCCTGTGGTGCTGGGAAGCTTCCAGGGCAGGAGGAAATGAGTGCATGAAGGGATTGCTCACCTTGTTCGTGTTGCCACGTGCGTGGTGCCCTCCAAAGAGGTACACGACCCTGTCCACACACACAGCACAGCTCCCAGACATGGAGGGGGGAATATCTCCCTCTGTTTTGCTCTTCTTCCTAGGAGCAGAGTTGAAATTAGAATTGGACCAAAAATGGTTTTACCTGGGGTTGCCACAGGTCACTGTGGCCATTGACATGAGTCACTCAGCTGAGCTGGGAGGATGGAACGATGGGGAAAAGGCAATTTGATTAATACATGGTTTTTTTGGGAAGAGGAATCCTGGCTGCCCAGCTCAGGGGTTTGGAATGTTCCAAATCCTCAGGCAAAGATGATGCACTTGTCTAAACTGAAGGTTTGGAGTTTGCTGCTGGATTTTTCCTGTTTGTAAACATCATAACCACAGAGAGGAACTTCCAGCACGTGTCCAGGGCTTTCCCTAACCCCAAGGAGGGCTGGAAGCACAGCTGGAATCCCACTTTCTGCAAACTGAAGAGTTCCTTTGGCTGCATCAAGGTTTAGGAACACCTGCTGCAAAGGACAAGAACCCAACAGTGGCTCCCTGACCACCCCTGTAATCAAAAGGGGCACAAATACAACTTCCAGCTGCTATATCCTATCACAGGCATCCCAAAACACTTCATACTGGGATCACACACTCCTGTCCAGGCTGCCTGTCCAACCTGCCTCTCCTGCTTCACCCTGGGAAAACAGCTGATGTTTCCACAGGGAAAAAAAACTCCAAACCTGAAATATTTGACACATTTTTCCAAGATTGACAGGTGGGAACAAAGAGATCAGGGAATTATCTCTCTTTCAATCTTTTTTTCTCCCCCCAAACCAGCAATTAAGTTAATGCTTTACTGTACCATCTCCCAGTTTCCATGTTGTAGATCCATATCTCATCCCTAGGCAGGTAGAAGTCATAAAATCCCCGAACTTGGGCATTCTGCAGGGTAGAGAAGGAAAAGCAATGTTACAGAGAATTACATGGAATTACAGGCTACTGGGAGTGTTCATACCCCCTCAGAGGTGTAATCACAGGCAGGACACAGCAGGAGCAGTGCCTGCTGTGCTGCTGTACCTCTCACCTGCATGGAGAGCAGGAATCAGCCTGATCTGGTGTCTGCTGGGATCACATAATCTCCCAGCAGAGCCACATGGGGAGAAATGGAAGCTAAACCTCTGTTTTACAGCCCAAGCCCAATGGAAGTTAAACCCTGTTCTACAGGGTGCAGAAATGACCCAAAATTTCCTCTTTAATTCTTCATCCCCTGCATGCATCAATTTATTTACTGAGTTCAGTGACAATTCATCTTCACCCCTGTCAAAATCATAACTGACCTGGTGGTGTGACACCTCAGTGTGACAAGAGCCACACAGGGATCTTTAGCTCCCAATATAGACTTGTGCTGATACTGCTGCAAATAAAATGACCAATTCATAGATTCATAGTATGTGAAGGGGTTGGGATGGAGCTTGGAGATCATCCAGACACAACCTCCTGCCCTGGGCAGGGACACCTCCCACCAGAGCAGATTGCTCAAGACTTTAGCCAACCTAAGATCTAAATCTCCCTCTTTCCATTTATCCCTATTACTTGTGCTTTCACTTTCCATGGTATGCACTTCTAATCAGACACTATTTCCTTCTCTTCCAACACAAGCTACCAAAGGCAATTAAGACCCTGCAACCCCCAAAAGTTCTCTGTTTGCTAAGGTTTGCCACTCATGATTTTTTCCAACACTGCAAAACACTTGGATGCCATATCCCAATTGACCTGGAGCTGTTCTGTCCCAGGGGGAGGGATAACTCCCCAGAGTCACTCCCCAAGCTGCTGGGATGCAAGTCCCAGGCCGTGGGTGGCAGGAGGGTGATTCCAGGAGGAGCAGAGAGCTGTACCTTGTAGCCTCCCCAGACGTACATGCAGCGCCCATCGGTGACAGCCACGTGGCCACTGCGCTCAGCGGGGCTGTCATTCTCCAGCTGCTCAAAGCTGTCCTCGGCCTCCTCGGCCACCGGCGGCTCCTCGTCCGCCTGCAGCTCCTCGTGGTCGTCTGCCATGGCTGCTCTGCCCCCTGCACACAGCAACTCATGCTCAGGGAGTGTCCTGAGCCGGGAGGAGCATCCAGTGCAACTCCTGCCCTGCACAGACACCCCAACAACCCACCCTGTGCCTGAGAGCATTGGCCAAACACTCCTGGAGCTCTGTCAGCCTTGGGGCTGTGACCACTGCCCTGGGGAGCTGTGCCAGTGCCCAAACACCTCTGGGGGAAGAACCTTCTCCTGATATCCAACCTAAACCTCCCCTGACACAATTTCATGCCACTCTACTCTTCACCCTGGGGCCCAAAACTGTGCTGCAGGAAGAGGCAGAGTGTGCCTCAGCTCAAGGCTGCACAGATAAACCTTAGCAAGGGAATACAGGAAGCTCTGAGGATGGAGCTGGGAATTACAGCTCCTCCACAGCTCCCTGGGGCTGGGGATCCAGGGCCTGGGGAAGCACAAAGTACTCCCATGTCTGACATTCCCTGCACCACTCCCGAGGGATTTCTATTCACTTTCAGCCACACCACAGCACCCTCAGGATTATC